ATACTGGTTAATTCTTTATACAGATTTTTAAATGGAACTTGAGGATTTTGACTTCTCAGTTTTGCAAAATGTGGGATAAATTAATGACACTGTAATCAAGTGTCAGGACATTAACCATGCTTGGTATCTGTCTCTGTCTAAATAAATTGATGAGCTGATAAAGAATTTTTATTATTTGGTTCCTGTTTTTTTACATTTTTGGGAGCGTGTGTCATCCTGTGTGCACGAGGTCATCAGTTGTGTAGACCACATTAAAACTGTGGCATCTCTGACCTCTCCTCTTTGGTGTTCCAGGGATATGAAAGGAATAAACTGTGTTGTCATTGTGTCACATTGTAAAGCTGCTGTGACACAGAAAGAGGACAACAGTGTGTGAGTGGTTATTGCAGTGTATCGGAGGCTGGTTATGATGTATCTTTTCAGAGTTAAGCTCAGGCTCCTTCATTCAGCAGAGAACACATTTGTACATTAAAATTAGCAGGTCAGCTTCGTCTTTGTAAATTGTGTTTCGCAGTTTAGGTCAGTGCAGTTGGAAACTGTACACAGACCATGGAGCGTCCTGGGGGGGGGGTTCTTATGAGAGAAAAATTGCACTGGTATTAAAGCACTGATGAGAAAACTGTGTCGCAGTCAACAGCAGCCGGAGTGATCTCAGTTTGGAAAATTAGCAGTTTTCCCATTTCAACACTGTTGCATGACAAAAGTACAGATGGACAATAGGAAAGTAGAAATTGAATGAAGTAGTATTAGATTTGGAAGACTTTCTGACAATCTGCCGAACCAAAAAGATTGTGATATTTTAATGGCGCATCCTGTCTATTGCAAAATTTCACATGCTGAATGCAATCTGTTCATGAGTGTTTTAAATGGCTTTTAGGGCTGTCGTTGTAGGGAAGTAGTTGGATAGCACCATTTAGTAACGTGTATAAAAAGTTGTAAATCAATGTAAGAATTGGGATTTGAAATATGAGCTTTAAAATGTGCAAAATTAATTCCATATTCCTCAGCCCTAGACTCAAGTATGCTTTTGCTGTTCATTCAACAGAGAAACTCGTGTACTGCTATGCTAGCCGGGTTTATAGTGGTTGGCAAAAGCATCCTAGTGCTGTTTAGCTGAGGCCTCCTGGAACCATCCATCACTACAACCAGCAGACAGTCATAAAACTAACAAGTACAAACATTTACTCGGACAACATTTGTCAGTTCGTTAAAGGTGTGGTTCACTAGGGCTGCAACAAACAATTATTTGGATAATCGATTAATCGGATGGGGTCTCGACACGATTAATCGGATTACATAGGGACATTTTTTAAAACTGCTAGGGAAACGTTATTTTTCTCCTTTCTTCACTTTATTAAACACAACATTATTAGAAAACAGTTCAATAGCAGAAAACCAACATGCCATCACCTAAATTGTCTTATAAGGTGTATAGACAGAGACCCTAAGCTACACCTATCTGTGACCTAAAATGCTTGGTCCAAGTTAAACAGCTTAAAGAGCAAGTCAACCCCTACCAGAGTCTAACTCCACTCCCGCTTCATGTTTGAAAAATGCAACACATGCTGTTGCCTGGCAGACCGAGAGGGCGGAGCCGCTAACAAATACACACACACTCAGGCTCACGACAGCATTGTGACATCATAATGTACCAGTTTACATCATAGCATACTTCTTAGCCAATAGCGGTGGCAGATTTAAATTAAAATACAGTGCAGAGTTTTTACCTGACAACGGCACAACACTGCCAGTTTTAGGCAGAATATTTAAATTTTAACTAAGATGCACTGAAGTGCCAAATTATTGACGACACGTGTCTGCAGCACGATTAGACACTCGTTTATTTAGTTTATCAGCAAAAAAAAGTTTATTTGGGGGTGACTTGCTCTTTAAGGGCAATTCTCATCTGTTTTGTTTGATCTCATCTGTAGACATTTATTATAATTGGGGATGTCAAACAACTAATTTTTAAATGTAATTAAACATAGGCTGTGAATTAATCAAAATTAATCACTATTTCCAAAAATGACTGAAAAATACCAAATAAAACAAAAGTAAATGAATGCCATCCTCCTTGCGATGATGCCCTGGGCAACTGCCATAAAGTCACATCAAGCGATGCTGCTGATCATTCCAATGATCCCAAATAAACTCACATTAGGCCACATGAAAGCAACTGAACCCAAAAATATATTAACCAGTATATAACTGCACTCTCACACAACACGCCTGCAGCAACAGTTAGGACTCCTCCCTCCCTTTTAAAAACGTTTTCGCTTCTGAGGACATTGTGGTTGTAAAGCCGCATGCTAGTAGTCTGGCCCCGGTGTGATCAACCAGTTTCTGCGGGAATGTGACGGCGGAACCGGTTCGTAGCGGCGCGAGTCCCCCCGCCTATCTAATAGCGTCGCACTTACAATTTTATAGACTTTTTTACGAGCTTAGGGCATGTCTAGCCTGTGTAATAATCCGGGGCTTGGGTGAATCACTTTTGAAAAGTTTTTTACTTACCCGGACACCGAGCGCTCTCCTTCCTCGCTGATGATTCTGACATGCTTGCGTTTAAGACGCTGCATCATCACCGTAGTATCCCCGTGCCATGCTAAGTCTGACCTACAAACGTTGCATGTCTTCGCCTGATTTAACTGAAAATGCTCCCAAACTTTAGAAGTTTTTACTTTTTTGGGGTCTCGCTGCTTCTGCCATGTTCCTCTTACAAACACCTGCCGGCTCTCCACCGGTCTGCGCGCAACGGCGGGCAGGAGGGGAGGGGGCTTTTGAAGAGTTGCGCAACACAACGAATCGATGACGCAATTCGTTGCCAACGCTTTTAGTAATCGATTTTCATCGAATTTATCGATTCGCTGTTGCAGCCCTATGGTTCACTGAAAAAAAAACTTTTTTAAGGATTATTTCTGATTATAATCGGTCACTCTAGGGTTTTCATGCAGGCTGAACATGAAAATAGTCTCCTACACCTACATTAGCTTCTGATAGAAAATATACGTAGAAAAGCTAGGATTTGAAAAGCCAGATAGATCTACGTCAAGAGGAAGGCTGTTGTCGGTTTAGCGTCCAGAATCGGCAGACAACGTTACAGCTAGCAGAAGCTAACCGTTAGCATTAGCAACTCAACCACACAGCAGAAGCTTCTGCAGGCTTTGGTTATTTGTGGAGATTAAGCATCCATGTTGCAGAGCAAAGGGAGTCAGTGGCAGACTTGTGTTGCTGTTATCCAATCTGAGGCAAGATGTCCAAATATCAAGAAATACGACTGTAAATTCTGCAGTGTTGAGCTCTCCTCTGATGTGGAAGACTTGTCTGTGGTTATGCAGGCATTTCTGGGCTTTTTTGCCCCAGAGTACGGCTTGCAAGGCATTCATTCCTACCAGAGACCGCTGATAATGTATTGATTAAACGTGTTACCCATACCTTTAAATGATGGAGGTTTGCTCTTCTGAATATCTTGACTCCTTTTATTCTCTGAGACGGTCATTCTGAGACATAAGATTGTATGTTTTTGGGTGTTTTTTGGTGTATGTGGTACTTTGGGTGCTGACTGTTCGCCATCGGGGGTGGTTTACAAGGACTCGCAGTCGCATCATCTATCAGCAGTAAAGAGTTACAGCTACATGTCACATATTAGGGCTGCACAATATATCGTAAATATATCGTTATCGCGATATCAGCATGCACAATATACATATCGCAAAGAACAGATAAATATCGCAATGAATGGTCAGCTCAAGTGTTTGCTACACATGATGCATTCTGTCAAGCAAACAAAGTATCATGTTTTTTTTAACAAATCAAATAGAGATCTTCATTAATTTGGCCAATCGGGTGGGTTCTCATAGGTCAGAGTCCCGCCCCCGAGGCGAACGGCACATTATTTAGATGGTTAGCAAACACCTGAGTTAGCTTTGTTCTGCTCTTTTGCTGATTCTGCTTTTCCCGGGATCCACTGATCGCCTTGTCTTGTTTATTTTCTTTTTCCCTTTCCTCACATTTTTAGCTTTTCTCATTGTTCCTGAGTTAAGTTTTTATTTACCGCAAGTAATATCGCCATCGCAATATTAATCATTGTTATCGAATATCGCAGGTTTTCCTAATATCGTGCAGCCCTATCACAAATGTACATCTGTGTGTTTGACTGCGGCGCACCACGGCAAAATATATGTAGTAGAAACCCTGATCAGGCGTGATACTAAAGCAGAAGCTTTGATGTACCTGAGAGTAAATCTGTAAGGCTTGTCACCAGCATTCAGACATCGATTCTGTTCGCTTCACAGCCAGACAGGACACGGGGGGGAAAAAATAAGTGTGGGGTCCTTAAATATGGGGTCACTGTTTAGAATAGTCTCTTAACCAGTCAGCACTCTCAACTGTCTTCAAGTGGCACACTTTGGGCCAAGTATTAGTTTTAGCTTCTTTGGAAATTTAACAGTCGATACTATAAATGTAACCGTGGACCACCTTCTGCTCTGTCCCCTCCACTACTCACACTAAACAAATGCTTTAAGGTGTGTTTAGTCTGTTTTTCACCCTGTAATGAAAAAGCCCAATTAGTGCAATAATCTTTGACAGTTTGACAATTCATTTTGTATGAATATTTTCCTTTTACAATTTATTATATGCAAAAACTACATGTTTGAAAAATGATATTCCCACCTGCAGTGGAAGGCTGCCTCTTTGCTGCAGCACTAAGAGAATCGTTTTATTTCTGTGTATTAGGAATGTACGTTTCCCACATGTCTTTAACCCGTTATTGACGCCCCTTAACGGTTAGTAGCCGGTTAACCGGTTAACTATGAACATCCCTACTGTGTATCAACATGGCCTACTAAGTCATTTTATGGATGAGATTTGAAAAATGTTAGGAATAAATCAGTTTCTTTTGCTTCCATTACATAAGTTTTGTTCTGATTTTCATAAAAAAACTAGATTTTTTATCTCCCCCCCCCCCCCCCCCCCAGTTATTTTTTTTAGAAAAACATTTTTAGATGTAGAATTTAAGGGAGCGTCTAGGAAGAAGCGTTCTCTAAAAGGGATTTAAACTGCTTTCATAGTGCCCTAGATGTTAGATATAAGAAATGGCCTTTTCTTGCCCTGTCTGGAATTTAAAAAACTGCCATACTTTAAAACCCTGCAGAATTTATTCAAAGAAATAGGCATAAATTAAGATGTTAACCATTGCTACAACTTATTTCTATGCTTGTTGCAAAATCTGCATATTTTTCTCAGCAGGCTAAAATTGTGACACACCAGGTTTCTGCACGTCAGTGTTGGTAACACCATGGTGGGAGCAGGAGCAGGAGCAGCACAGTGTTGTATAATTAGCTTGTGGCCTCTGCTGTGACTGGACAGTGAATGGTAGTAACCAGACACAGCACAGCGGAACTGATCCATCAGTTTCCTTTTTTAGACTCCTTGCCCTCCCCCTCTGCAGACGCCGGGAGTGTACATATGTGTGTTTGACTGCGAAAGAGTTCTGCTGCAGCGAGAAGAGTTTACACTCCAGCATTCCTCGAGTTAGCACTAAAGTGCGAGTTATTTAGATGGCTTTGTGTTTGTGAAGTGGTGACTGCCATGCTTCAGACTGAAGTCAAGTCTTGTGTGATGTACAGAAATAGCAAGCCCCACATGCCTTCGTCACCAGAACTCTGAGCAAGCGCTGAAGTAGTTATGATTACAAAAGCTTTCCCCAGACAATTTGGTCTACCCACATTGCTGATGAGTGATCCCAGTGTTGGACAGAGCAGGCTACGGGTCCTGGTTTGACATGCTGCAATTTTGAGGTTTGATGGGAGCAAGCTTTTCACCCTCCCTGTGCCACAGAATGAGAGGCCTGCTGTTTGGGTTTAGGTTTAGCTGTGTTGTAATTAGATTTTTTTTAATGTGTGTGTTTTGTGTATGGGAAAGCAAAGAAAAAGGGAGGGAATAAAGCTCGGGGTGGAACCCTGAGAGGAATTAAGTCTCTGCACAGAGAGAAAATCAAGCAGAGAAATGGATTGATGACACGTTTGGTAATGACCGGGCCGGCGCGATCGATGACGAGTGGAAGGCAGCGACTGTGGAGGCAATCAGGCCTTTGTGACATGAATATCTTCAGGGCTGATTTGCCTTCGGCATCTTCAGAAAGCATCTTCCAGGAAGCTAAAGACTGCAGTTAGGGTTGTTTTTGGAGATCTCGCTTGTGATTCGATACAAGCTCCGTTTGCAGGTCGTATTTATGTCTTCGTTTCTGTCTGTGCTGGAGATGGCGTTCTGATAAGGGCTTTAAGATGATTCATCATTCGAGGTCACTGCTGTGTGTTGGCTTACATGCTGCAGAGCAGGTCATTTATTCCCGCTGGTGGCTGACTCATTTCCTCATGGCTGTTGAGAACATACCCACTTCAGATAATCGGGGGCTGGATCCTCTTCATGACCACTGATGACGACTCATACTTCTTAACTCTGTTCTCCAGGATTAAGTGATTTTGTTTGGGGCCATAAATCAAGGTACAATTCATTTAGAAACAAGAGCACCTCCTCCCAGTCCTTTAGATGGCCGTCAGGTCTATTTGTGGATTTTTCAGCTAAAGTACTGAGTAACGTGACTTAAGTCGAGAAGATGGTCATGAGGCTCGCTTAGATTGTGACTAAGCCTCTCCATTCCCGTTGACTGATGCCTGATGAAACACAAGCTTGACCAACGAGCCTCGGCATACAGAAACTAATCATCAGGATCACCAGGACTAATCGTTAAGTGTGGACTCTTGAATGGGCAATATAAGCTGGAGGAGTCAGGTGTCTTCAGAGGACACAGACTCCTCTCTGAGGGACGATCTAGATGAGGACGCAGGTAAATGCATTTGCAAAATAATTATTGATGCACAGATAATTCTGTAGTTGTTGAACTGCAAAGGCCAGGGAACGGGTGAAAAACAGTTTTAGTGGTTTGCACTTCGGGGATAAAAAAAGTTCTTGTTGTAGATATTTGAAATTCTGCATTTGTTCAGATAAATAGGCATATATTTAAATGTAAATGAAGCAAGAAATCATGCTCTCAGCCAAAAATGGGATCATACACTTGTTTCACTTGCATGGTTGCTTGCTTGGGTTCTGCTTGCAAAGGTTCTATTTCACGTATTTATGCAACCCCTTTTTAGGAAACGCGAAGCTTTCATTGTTTTTGAAGGAAGTGTGCTTTGCCAGTTTGACAGCTTTAATGTAAAATAGGGTCACTTGGCAGAATTAAAAAGCTGGGCACATTCCTCGCTGTGCTTTTTGTGTCGTGTGGCTTTATGGAAAGTGCTCATTTGCTCTGCTGAAGCCTTGGGTGGACCCAGCTTTAAGACGCTGCTCCGTAGGCCTGTAGCCTTCCATCACACGCCTGCGTCTTTTGCATATCGCCTCCAGAGTTCGTAGACAGAAGCCACAGCCGTGCTAATCCTGACTCATCAGGTGAGGATTCGTCAGTGTGTCTGGATGCTGTGGTTCTAATCCTGTTGCACAGTGCAACAAACAAACAGCAGCGTTTGTTGCACTGGCTGCTTAACTTCACCATGGTAGCTGGGTTTATTTGTTGACCCACACGTTGGGGGTCAGGGCTGCTTGGTTTATTAATGTTTGTTGTGAGCTTGTTCTTCCCCCAATGTGCTGTGTGAAGTGATCCACCCTAGTGAGCTGGTAGCACCTAAACACTCCCTAATTAAGGCATTTGGGTTGATCATTGTGTAATTACACAGCGCAGAGTGTCTTAATACCCTGTTTTGAAAACACACAGTCTTAAGGAATGCTCAGTCCAAAATCGGCTCGTTTTAGCTCAGCAGAGTTATTTGTCTGTGCAACGTTTATTTCTACTTATTAGTCAAGTCTCTGTAGCCGCAGTGTTCTTTAGTGAGGATGTGCTGACTTAATTATGTGTTTGAAATCAGGAGGTTTTAGTACACCATCACGTGATGGACATTAGTGACACTAATTAGTCTGTTAGAGCTCATTTCCCAGCAGAAAGGTAGCTGGTTGCCTTTAAAAGCTGTAGAAAATTCAGGGAACACGGTCCTTATATCTCACAGTTTTGGAAGGAAGCAGTTTGAATCTCCGTCTTCAAAGAAACGGAGTGTATCACAAGTGCTACCAAGTTGGTTGAGATGTCAGACTAAAACAAACAGAGGTACTGAATAGCACGTTTTTGCGGATCGATGTAGAGATCTCCTGAAAAGGGTGTTCTGGCTTGTGGTTCTGCGTGTTATTGGCTGTAGTGGGTCAGATGGAGACTCGGAGAGTGGCACGACGAGGTCAAAGAGCAGGCAGACAATGAAGGGGATGTCCCACAGCTGCTGCCATTTCCGACTCGGGTCTAAATCAGGACTAGAGAGAGAGAAGCTGGCACTGCTTTCAAAGAGGTCTCAGTTGTTGTTGAGGTAGATGTGAGCAAATTTCTGTCTGCTTGGGTTTATTGATGATTGTAAAGCCTTACTTTGGTGTCCCTAAATGATGTTTAAACCATTATAAATGACACACTTGCTTGTGTTGAGGGTGGTGACCTTTGAATTTTGTGTTTGCCTAACTTTCACAAGTTTATATCAACCCATTACTGTGAAAAATTCTATTGTGTGCTTCAAAGTGATATTTGTTTACAAGTAGTACCAGCAACCCAAGAAGGCCTCAGTAATTTCAGAGCACAGCTGGAGTTTTACTTCATGATGTGTGTTTTAGATCTAACTGGCCAAATGAGCTCAAGTTAAAGCTTTAAATGAAATTTAAAAACCTGATTTGGTCTACACCAACACTCTTAAAATTTTCACCGTGAATTCACAATAATTTACTGGATAAATTTTGCCGTACTTTTGCCGTGCTTTCACAGTAAAATACTGTTACATGCACTCACAGCAATTTACTGTAATTTTGTTGCTGTGATATTATAATGTACTGCTGTAAAATCACAATTGTACACTGCAACTTTACAGCTTTAATGACAAAGCATTTACTGTTCTATTACAGTACATTCCTGGGGAATTACAATCTTTTGCTGTTCATTACAACAAGGCCCTGTACTTTTACAGTATGTACTATTTACAAATTCACAATGATTTACTGTGAATTTACAATGTATGAAAATTAAAAAAAAAATCCAGTAATGTACTGTAATAAGTAATCCTGAGGTTCCATTAGCTTTAAATGTACTACCGTTGCACAAATACAACCCCGTCGCCAAAGTAAAGTCAGTGTTAATCCAATGGCATATTTATAGAAATTTTATTCAACATATTTTATACAGCCAAGAATTCAAGATTAATCTTTCAAGTTGTAAAATTAAAATGAGGAAAAACACTGAGAAAAGGGAATGAGGCCCTCACAACAACACGAGAGGAAAGGAGACAGTGAAGAAGGGAATGGGGTCAGGCGCTCCTTAGTCTTTAACATTATGGGCAATAGAACAGGAAAACATTTAACGTAAACTTATCTAAAAAAAAAACGAACACTGAAGAACTGAGCCTGAGTACTGCTGCAAAAATCTATGATGTCCACTCAAAATCAATGAGCTTCCTAAAAAAAGTGCTCACACGAGGGTTGATTGCTGTTCGCTTCTTGGTCTTTGACCCTCTCTCAGGGTTGATTCCCAGGAAGCACCTGTTAAAAAAGCAAAGATAGTTTCAGTTGATATGAGATTAATGACTCTGGTTCACCCTCCAAAACATTAATTGGTGAAAAATGCATCTTTTTATGTTGAGTGCCACCCGCCAAATAACACACAAGAAAAGGAAGAAGAGTGTTGTTGCACAGTTTTCAAAGGAGTCAAAAACCTCCAGCAAAACCATAAATACAGCAAAATAAACATACAATCCAACATGGCGTCCTCCAGAGAGTCGGACCCTCGCGTGTGTATTTTATACCTGATTTTTATGGTTATTTGTCACAAAGTTGCTGGTATTTTTCAATGAATGGGCTTCATTTGATTCATTTTGCAAAACATTTCAACGTATATTTCCAGAAATTAATGACAAATACTACACACTGTCACTTTAAATGTGATCTTTATAAAATACCTTTGAATGAATTCCAGTGTTAACGATCCAGTGGCAGGATACTCGATGTTGAAGACGTAATAGCAGCTCAACAATGCAGCTACACCATGTAAAAAGAACGGGTGTGGGCCCATCATGACCTGTCCCTCGATGGATATCAGCCATCCAGAGGGCTTCATCATGTCACCTGAAATGAAAAGACTGATATGAGCATTTTTTTCTACTTCAGCTACAAAATTCATCTAGATTTCAAGAATGAAACAAGTTATATCAAGACAGAAATGTCAATATTGGATCAAAGTAATATTACCTTGAATGATCAAGCAGGGGCTGGTGGGAAGTTCTGCAGAACTTATGTCCACGGCAGTGGCACATGGCTGTAACATAATCACACAGCAGCATAGATTTAGGATAGAGTATAAATATTCCTCATTGGTCAAAGTTAATAAATCGTACAGTTGATAATGTAATCATTCAATTTGCATTTTAAATTTTTTAATACAAAATCTTACATCAACTTCAAGCACCAAACATTCTTTTGGCTCTTTGAAGTACAACATTAGGACCAGCAGGATGGAGGCAGCCTTATCAGAGTCTTGAGCGTAGTTGACAATAACTTCATTGATGTTGGGATGGTCCAGTGTTGAACAGTAATCCAGGATGGTCTGTCCTCGTTGACTTATTGCCACCTGTAGTTTCTGAAGGACGTTGATGTCCGTCAAAAGAGCAAAATGTGAGAATAGGCTTTTCTGAGAGAAGAGAAAGGGCCACTCCTCTTTGATGTCAGACATTGCTGCAGCAGGCATTTTGTTAAGGTATTGCCGGAGGATGACATATGTCTTTTCCATCATTGGTTCTGCTCTCTCCGCCCCTTTCATTCCTTCCTCTGTGTATACAGACAATAAAAATGTATTGTTAGTACCAAAGTAACAATTTGGTCTTGTTAGCTGCCGAACACACAGTTTTTAGATCTTGACCAATGAAAAAACTCCAAACAAAATAACCCAAAACAACAGTAGAAAGCCTGCCTGAGTAGATGTTCAGTAGATCCCTCTTCATCTTCATCAACGATGCCTCGGTCTCCCCCTCTGGGAAATCCACTGGGCCCCACCTGACACACCTAAGAAGGGGAATCACAGGGTAACACTACTATTAGGGACAGTTATAGCCCAGAAGTTGGAGCAATGACTAAAGGGTCCGTTTGTCTCCCAGTTGTGACTGCATTAACAGACTTATGTCACAGAAGTTATGTTACAGTGTAGAAGTGTTGTAAACACTGATGTTGTTTATCCAAATAAAGCTGCAGTCCACAGTGTTTGTGTATATATTAAAGATACCTAAATCTTTCAAAAGATATTTCTCTTCAAAATTATGATAGTTTTTTTCTACCCCACAACATTCGTTATTCTTCCTAGTTCCTCCTTCCTGCTATTTGAACATTCCTACTGACCGCCAAATTTTTTTGCCAACAGAATTGGAGCTTCCACCTTGTAGGCACGGGTGGCCTAAGTCACGCTCTTCTAAAAATGAGTCAAAGGAACCACTTAGCTGTGATTGGCTAAAGACAAACCATTGTAGCAAGTAGACGGACATTCGAGGGGTCCTCCAATCCGCTCAATGTTTCCTACCAGATGGCCCCCCCTCCTTCCCAACGCTGTTTGCAGCAGAGGTTCCAGATCAAAACGTGGAAACTCGACACGGGGTGGGGCAACACATACATTTAGCTGCTGCTGGGTTAGCGGTCTTTACAACACTTTTAAAATTGGCTCATGCTTGCTGGAAAAAGGTCTAAGTTAATGTCAATAAAATTTGTTTTGTTCCGTTTCTGGCTTATTCATGGTCATATACAATGCTTTTGATAAAATGTTAACAGATATTACATGTATATTGCCACATACCCGTACTGGTCAACAGGACCTCTCTCTTGTCTGATCTCTCCTGCGATTCCTGTGAAGCGTTTTCTGCGGTGTCGAAGAAGAGTTTTGGTTCTGTTGTGGTACTCCACTCTTGTTTTCACTTGCTGTAGTAGAGAATAGCAGCCATCTCCTGTAGTATCACCATACTTTCCAATGTCAGCAAATGACTTTGGATGTCTCCTAAAAATGTGTGGGATTAATAGACAATTAGAAAGTAAGTAGTCAAGTAGAAAATATTGCACTATTGTTACACAACAGACATTTACAACTCAAGTACTTGAAGAACCAAGTTTAACCTTCGTGTATCCTGCCATGCGCTTTAGCACACTTGATATTTCAAGTAAGAAAAAAAAAAAACAATGTATTCCTTCCAATTTACATTTAAAATTTTCAGAAGGTGCTAATTCTTTCCCTGATCATCCCATCCTTACCTGACAATGTTTCTCACAACGTTGTAGCACATGGCTCTGGATGGGTTTTGGTCGTGCTGCATCATTTGGTCCACAAGCGCAACCACGAAGGCCCTTCTTTCGTCTGGTAATGGTCTTTGTTGTTTTTCCACTCTACGTCGAACAGCTGATGACATCTGGTCCAAGTTGAGATGAAAGTCAACATGCCATGGTACCCCTGGCTGTGAGGCGTGTGGCGTGCTTGGAGGGCTGGACAACAGGTGATTTGGAGACTGGAGTGTTGTGTTTGGGGAACTTGGAGTTTGGGAATTTAGAGCATTTGGATCAGGAGCAGAGACCATCTCCATATTAAGAGTAACAAGTCCTAGAGGGCACAAAGAAAAATTATTTAAAGTGGAACTGAATATGGTGAAAGAAAAACTTAACCCAGCCCCCAGATACAGTTTGATAAATGCTAAAATGTGGGTTGTCCCAGGAGGCACAGAGGGGCGCGTGTTCGCTCTTGGCTGGTAATGCCCTGCCTCGAGTCGCAATCCGCTCTCGGCTGGCGGGAGACGCGCCTCTGTATGACGTCATTCGGCGTTTGTTGGGGTCGTCAGCTGCTCGCCGAATGAAAACGGAGCGTGAACATTCAAGCGGTCGAGACGGAAGTACCGCACAACAAAAAAGCCTAGATGTGAACGCAGCATAACGCCATTCTATTGGCCAAGTGTGTCCCACAGATGGCTTTATCCCCAAACCCACAAAACGTTGCTGTGAAACCAGGCCTGTGATGTGTAATGGTACAAATATCATGCAATTGCACCAAAATGCAGTAGCCAATGTTCAAGCCAAAGGGAGAAGCAATTACATTTTTTTAATACAATGTGTATTGTGTACAGCTTGTGTCAAAGTTCAAAAGCCCTAGTTTAGTGACATCAAAGAGTGGAAAGAGGAAATTACCATCCTTGATTCCCTTCATCAACTTCCGACTTTGGATGGGTTTGAGGTATTTCTCCAGATCCTTTTCCTCCAACAAGGTGAGATCTTCAATAGAGTCCACTCCGAGACCATCCAGCATGGTGGTCAGAAGGCCACCAGGGAGACCAGGCAAGTATGACCACACTGCTTCTTTAACCTAGTTTCATTAAGTATTCAGTTGTGTAATTTAGCATTTTTACCATCCCTAAACTGTATTCATGTTTTCTACTATAGCCTGTTCAATAAAAAAAATTAATAGGTGGGTTTCACATTCTGTAATTCTAATGCAGTTGGAGGGCAGGTCCCAATACAATCTTTGGGGGAAAACTGTTTTTGTAAGAAATTTCAGAAAAGAAACTGTCCTGTTTTTATTGATAAATATTTTAAAAAGTGACTGGATTCACAAAAGCGTCACATTATTTCATTGGCCGAAAGACCTTTCTACAGGTCAATATCACACCCATTTTTTACTATTGTCTCCACTTTTGGACATCTTGATTGGAAAAGTAATTAAATGTATTTTATGTGTTGACAGAATAGACATTGAACTTTGTGACAGTTTTTGTTTTATTGACCAGGAAACTACTTAGGAATTAGCAAAAAACTAAAACTAGAAATAGGCATTTTGACTGTTATGATGGTTACTTGCAAATAATTTTTAGTTACCCTGCATACAGGATATAGAATATAAAGAGAATTTCACGTGAAACCGACCTATTAAAGATTCAAATGTATTCAAGGCTACCCAAAAAAAAATATATCAGCTATGACAACATAGCCTGCTCTACTACTCACATCTCTCCTCACATATCCTGTATCCTCATTTTCACCCTTACTCATACTGCTTCTGGAAAAGAATGGTGGAGAGCAATAAGGGACTGATCATACACGTTGTATGCTGAAAGGGGATAGTAGTCGAGGAGATCTTCATGCTTAATGCACACATATTTGTCTTGGATCACTCCTTGGTCACAGTACACGCCTGTGTCACATAACTTTACAAAAGTATGTTTCTCGGAGACAAAAATGACAAGATTATGTTCAACAATAATGAGCATAATCTTCCCCATGAAAAGCCCATCATCAGTGTTCTGTAATAATACATACATCCCCCTTCTGTAATCTGTGCCTTTGACTGTAACACAGTTACAAGCTACTGCCGACTGTAACTGGAATGGACAACTGGCAACAGATGCCCTGATCCTGTCATTGTAATCTTCAACATGGAAACAAGTCCCCTTTTCTGCTTGTACAAGTGGAGGGAACAAGTTTCCCACACTTAAGTAAGCTTGTAGAAGTTGGTGCCTCTCTGCTAGAGTTTTGCACAAATTCCTGAAATTGTGCAATTTTCTGGCACACTGTTTAAAAAATGTGTGCTTGCTCTCAAACCGCAGTGTCCATAGTCGTATAAGTGGGCCAAAGTGAATGATGAGAGATGGATAGTGACACAGATAATGGTGCTTTGGTCTGAGGGGAGCAATGGGGAAAAGCCTCGTCCTGGTGACTATGTACTCCTCTATGAGGACTTTAAGATACGCAACCTGGCCCTCTGTAATCACCGGTGCACAGATGAGCCCAACAATCTCCCTGAGCTGCAAAATTATTAGCCACACCTCATTTTCGCAGGGATCTTTAATCCTGTCACCCACCATGAGTGGGAGAAGTCTAAGGAAACACCAGTTCTGAACTGCGTGTCCACTTAGCTTGTTGCTGCTGGGAGAGAGGTCTGCTGGCTTGTCCTTACCATCATTACCTTCATATCTGAACTGGTTCTTGCACCTGTTTAACTGCAGGTATGTGAAATGATTCTCCTCAACTAAATGGCGAATATATAAGGGCAGGTCATAAGCAATGACTCCCTCAAATAAGTCATGGCCTAGACATGGTGGTAGGCCAGGCTGGCAAACATGGAAATGTGAAAGCTGATTGAAAGGAGAGTCAAACTTGATGCCACATACAGAGTCAGTGGCAGTAGTTTTCTGTTCTTGCAAGTTACATGCATATGATTGAGCTGTTCTTTTTGTACCACACAATATAGGGTTAGCCAGGAATTCATCTCTACACACCTCACAGTAGCGACAAAACCATATAGACCGACTGAAGTTCTCCAAGAATCCCCCAATAGAATGGGATCCCAGGTTGTCTCCTGCAATGGCAACTAAAGAGCCCTTTAGTACATTGCCATCAGATGTGAGGATACCTCTCTGCTCCAGAATTTTGAGGTCCTCAATCAGGGGGGCAAAAACTTTGTTTACCCCAAAATACTTAAAGTCTTGTTCCCTACATAAGAGAACAAGTTGCATCTGATCAATTGAAGATCTGTTGTAAGGCAAGATGTCAGTCAGAGTCAGGTAAACAGCTAAAACCTTGTGCTTTTTTTTCCCTGAGCCTAGGGGGTTGACAACCTCGAAAGCATCTTGGTACAGTATTAAACCAAGTGAAGAAGGGTCAGCTTTCAACATTGGATTTCTTTGAAAGCCTTCTCCATCCTTCACATCCTGATAGACAGCATCAGCAGATGGCTGTGAACGTGTCATGGTGTACTGTTCACGCAGAGACTCATTTTTGAAAAGTGTCACCAAGGTCTCGTGCATGGGAATATACTGAGCAAAACACTCCTTGTCATCATCATCATTGCCCAAGAGCAAAGGCACAGGATGAACATAGTTAAAAGATTCTTTAAAAGCAGCCTTCCTCTTTGCATCGGTATTGAGCCTTTCCCTGTTATAGAGTGAGAGTAAATCCTCTCTGTTCATTTCCTCAATGATGCTGCTTATAGTGGCCTGAGGGATTCCGAGTTCCTTTAGTTTCTCATTTAGAATGTTTAGGGAATTTGACAGGCCAAGTTCATGAGCACTTTGAAACCCATCAATGATGGTCTGAATAGTGGTTGCTGGCAAGAGTAGCTTAGATTGCATTTTTAGGTAGAAAAGTGTAAGGTTCTGGAAAAAGAGGTTTTCATCTACAACTAATGGCATTTGTGGTTCATTATGTTCCTCAGCAGGTTCTGAATATGACTGACTGGTTCCTGGCAATGGCTCTGTGGCTATAGACCTGTCTAAAACAACATCATTTAAAACTGAATCCTCAACACTCCTATGTTTTCTACAAATATGTGAAGCAAAACTGGACACGTTTGTGAATGTGCAATCACAATCCCTAAATGGACATCTTGTTTCTAATCCTCCACTTATGTGCTTCTTCAAATGCCCAATAAGAGAGGCCAAAGTGCTGCACTTAAATGCACATACCTCAACTAGACATTTTAAGGGTGCATTAGTTGGTAGGGCTGACGTGTCAGGCAGTGTACTCCCCGCAGTCTGCGGGTTAGACCTATGCTGCCTATACATATGAATTTGCAGTCCCGTGTGTTTTCTGCACCTCCATGAGCAATCAGGCACACCACACTGGTATTGATAGTTGGGGACATTGCTATGCAGTTTGGTGTGCTGAACATAGCTATGGACATTCCTAAAGACATGCTCACACCCAACCAATTTGCAGTTGAACATTGTGAAGCATGTCAACTAGTCACTTACAGTGTGGTCAGCCTCGCTCTCTGGTGATCTAGAAAGAAAATAAAGAAGAAATTACACAAAGGCAACCAACAATACAATTTTAAGTTTGCATGCACATTGTGATCATTGTAAGTAAGCCTATGTTTAAAACAGTGTACATATAATTATAAAATGTGCAGTAGAGGCAGACAGGTATACCAGGCCAATATATTAACCTTTTTTGGTATTGGCCATTGCCCGGATTTTTATATAGGCAATATTAAAATAGATAAAGGCACCTGTGTGGCCTGCTATCTTTTAAAATGTGTTACAAAATGTATTAGCATTACAATTAACAGGCATATATTGACTATAGTGAGTAGAGGGGCCACGTTTACAGATTTTTATTTTGTTTTTAACAGTTATTTCCCTATGAGAAGTAATATATTCTGTGCGAGGCAAAAGTTCAAAACCTCAAGCCAATAACTTAGCCAAATCAGACTATTAGATTTTTTTCAAAAAGAAATGAGTCTTTACATTCAATGCTGTGGAGGAACAACCAAATCAAGTACTCTTAAAATAAGCGCAAGAGTTTTATTTCATTTTTATGTTTAATTCTCTGCCCAGGTTGTTGTGACTGAATACGTAAAATGATTTTTAAAAATTAATTACATAGAATAGGCATTAATTCATCAGACAATTGTATTTATTTATGTGTGTGTTTTCAGTAGCACTTTGAGATTTTTCTATCAATGTAAACAGTAATTTTTACAATTATTATTCATCATCAAAATGAAATAAAACACAAACAGCAATGCTCATGATTAAAACAGTAACTACCTTAGTCGCACCAGCAACAGGAACTACAAATTTGTGTGACACAGGTACAGAAGTATCAAGATGTCAGTCCAACCTAGAATACAGGCATACTCAAGTCAACACAGGGAAGCAAGGTGAAGAACACAAATTTTAGGTCAGAATGTTGTAGATAACAGTGATAAGTAGATAACCGATACTAAAAAAAACATTGCTAACAAAAAGAAACGCAGTGTTATGAGCGCCAACTAATCAGAGTGCCTTTCACTCTGTAGTTACTTTATCACACATATCTTGAATGGACTGCAGAGCAAGAGGAAACCATAGCCAAGGATTAGATAAGTATTCCTTCATTGTCCCACAGTTAGGAAATTTGTGTATGAAAGTATGAGCAGTTGAGTAGCAGAAGCAGTTAAAGAACAATACAACAAGTATTTAAGAAAAGAAAGCACTCGGGTATATCTGGGAGTAGTATCTAAATAGGTTGAGAATTCCAGATGAATGTGGCGGCAACAGTGAAAATGTGGATGATAAATAGTGGAAATAGCAGCAGTGATCTCGAAGTCGGTAGTTACAAACACAAATACACCAATCTGTGTAAAATAACAGAGGGATTATTCAGTTATGATTAAACGAGGCGAGTCAGTAATAATCAAAGTGAGTCTGATGTGCATAATATATTAGTCATTCATTGTGCAGATATGACAGCTGGATTATTAATTATAGTGTGCAAAAATGACAGTACATTGGTTATACTTGCAATCAAATCAAATAAGATAATGAGTACAGTCAAAGTTCACACCCTGACAGAGATTTCTAAGGATGAGTGAGTACAGCATTATCTGTATCTGTTAACCATATTAATTATCTGTATCTTATACATATCTTATACATGTGCAAAATGAATGCACAGCAATTAATTATTTTTCTGCAATGAGATTCAACAGCGTTGGCTCCGTCAAAGCTTGATACTTTTCAAGCTTCAACGTTCAGCTGCGTCGCTTTACAAGCAGCAACCAATCAGAGCGCCTGTTGTTGTCATATCACTACTACGAGCCAGATTCCATGAAAAAAAACAAGCATTTAAGAATTTCAGCCATAGAGCATAAACTTATCGTCGTATTCAATCACCGCGAACCGTATGGCCCCTCCTGTCATGCCTAAACAGATCGGCATAACTAGGACTTCGTTTGGAAAAAGATTGGTGAAGAAGTCTGCGTGTTGGATAAGTTTAGAGAGCCCCTCCCGCGCTCTTTCCCCCCTGCAGCAGGGGGGGTTCCTGAGGCAGCAGCCAACGGTTACGGCAGACGTTACAAGGGCCAAAGTAAAAAAAATATAGGGCTTCAAATACGGGGCTTTATGCGCGCTGTTTGACGTATACGTTATGGCCAGTGTGAACGCAGCATTAATTGGCAATATCTTTGAGCGTTTTTGCATACAAAAGTGGAGCGCAACACGTCAGAAGTGCTCCAAGCTGCACCCGCTCCGCTCTGCGGTAAATCATGGGTCTGACATCGCTTTGCCTCACGGCACATCATGTTTCATTTGTCAACCCCCCATTGTTTCCATCAACAATAGATAGCCGCGCCTCCCCCCCCCCCCCCCCCCCCTCCCCCTTAAAAAACGTTCCTGAGCTGGTAGACCAACTTCCACATGCAGCCTTCGATGCAACATTTTTAAAGACAATATATATGATCTGCGGCATGCAATAAACGTTCAACAAAAAGTAAATATCATTGTAAAAACAAAGTTGCTCACCTTCTTCACCGGCGGAGAAAGGGAAAGAGGGATTTCGCGCCTTCAGTTCAAATTAGTAGTTCGGTTAGAGGAAGTCTCCTCCCCTTCCAGTCTGCCCGTGGATCCGCCGGACGGAAAAAAGCAATAATTTTCTGGAACGTTTAATGCTCCAACATTTGTCCAGAAAAGGCAACTCAAGAGTTGTAGTCCACTACAAAATGTAAAATAACTTTTACCACCTAACAAAAATCAGCTCATCTTTGAACTTTTATGTCTTTAAATTTCATGAACATTATATGTTACATCCGTCATTCATTGTTCTGGCAGTATATAGGCTGCCTGTGTCACGTGACTTCCAAGTCAATATTTTACTGTAATGTTACAGTTTGATGGTGTGAAATCAGTGCACTTTTTACAGTTTTGCTGTGAAAATAAAATTCCTGGTTGTAATATTACAGATGGTTTTACATGGCAAGATTATACTGTAAAATAGGAGTTAAATGCTGTAAAATCCAAGGATATTTTATTTTTACATTAATTCAATGGGTTATTACAGGGAAACTTAATTACAATAAATTACTGTAAAATATTACTTTAAATTAATGTGAAATGCTGGTAATTTCTAACAGTGAAAGTTTTCTTTAGTTTCATGGACAGAAAAAGATTTAGCATTTACGTCACTCCCCGACCACCCACTTCTGTTTGAGACTGTCTGCTCATGCAAAATAAGCTGATCCAGGAAGAAGGCTCAATCATCCCTCACCCCAGCAGCACTCTACAGCCCTTTTTTGAAGGCACACCATGCTGGCAAATCGGCGTAATATTACCGCAACGGTGTGTCCATGCCGGCGTGGTGTTGCGCACATTTTGCGGCAGTCGTTCTACCTCATTTGGTAGCAATATAGTGAAAGTTGCCCTATAAACGGCGATTGCACCTTGGCGCAACAGAGGCTAGTATCATGGTGACATGGGGAGTTACTGCTGAGCTCCTGCCGGCAGCTACATTGGAAATGAAAGTAAACACGGGCTGTAAGTTTTGCTTTTTGAACAAAATCAGCTGAGATGGCAAACTGGAGCGCTCCTGGGGCTTCACTGGAGCTCAGATCATCGGGGAATGTGGGGACAGACCCTAGGAGCGGCTTGTTAAAAAAAAAGTAACAACTGCGGCTTCAACCGCAATAAAAACCAAGTTATGTCCAAGATAAATAGAGGTCCGTGACAGTGCAGAGACCACCCCCATACCACCTTTATACCACAATCTTTTATAAAATGGACATGATTGCTCCACATTGCCGCTGTCGGTACAGGATCGGCTCGGGGTCCTTCGACTGCCGATGACGTCACATTACTGCAAATCTACTCGGCTTTCACACACGCGTTTTGGAAAGACATCAGCAGTTTTGTTAATAAATTCTTGCTTGTTAACACCTAAATGTTTTCTTTATAATTGTAATTTGTTAATAAAACATCATATTATCTTTGTTTTGTAAAGAATGTGAAACTGCATAAAACCAACATCAGACTGACAAAAAATAGAACAGTTCTTATATGTGAAGTCATATCTGTTTGTATTAATGTGGAGTTCGTCTGTATATTTCCTTAGTTGTTATCTAAATACATTCTTTGACTCAAAATATTGCTTGGTGTCTTTCAATAAAGTTCTTATATTTTATTTTGCCCCATTTCATCAGCATCTACAGCTTTTCAGGGTCACTGTTTATCATTTGCTTATATTTTACATTTCCTTAAGAAATTCAAACATATTTTCTCCAAAAAGTGTTGACTTTTGGACTGCAGGACTACAACCGCTAAGACTACAACCGCAAATTTGTTCTGACCAATCAAAATCATAACGTGATAACGTCACTTCCGTAAGCTTCATGTTCAGCCAATCGACTACTTTTAACGTAATCAGCAGTCGAAGGACCCCGAGCAGATCCTGTACCGACACCGCCACGGTCTGACCAGTTATAAACGACCTAAGGCTCCCTGATGCTGCCACTGCATCAAATTGATGGCATTGTTTTGTAAAGATGGCTTACTTCTAGTTCTGGAGGTTTCCTAGGTGTTCTTAGAACAAAAGGGATAAATAATCATTCCACTGAGTTCTGGGTTTGCCCAAGGGACTCCTCTTAAAAGAGGTAACCAGGAAGCGTTCTTATCAGATGTTGGAACTACCTCGGCTGATTCCTTTCATTTTGGAGGAGCAGCAGCTCTACTTCAAGCTCCTCCTGAATGGGGCAATTCAGGGTTAAAGGGTTCATTCAGTTGTTTTTTTCAAACACATTTGCAATGGTCTCTAGTACGAGTGAATGCCTTGTGAGTTTTTATTCTGTGGAAAAATGCTTTGGTATTTCTTTTTCAGGGGTTAGAAGTTTGTCTGAGGGGTGATGGGGCAAAAAAATGGTCTTCCTCATAAATATTCTTTAACGCAGTCAGACCAAACGCCAAACTACTGGTACACCTTTCACTCTGACTCACTCTCTATCATCCACATGGCACCAAGATAAAATTGTTCATTGAAGTCGTCAACATGAGGCAGTGTCACTCCTAACCTAGAGGGAGTATTCTACCTTCAGATAAGTTCAGAAAATCTAACTGCACCCAAATTTATTTCAACGTAGGGCTAGGCGATGGAACGAAAATGTGTCTTTATCAAAATTTCTGACTAACCGATATTATTTTCCCCATGTCAATAAATTTGATAATAAAAAAGTGAAAAGATGTGTGTAGGTTGGCGACGTTCACGTCCCTTTAGGGAAGCTTTACCACCTCGAGTCACATGACAACGTGACTCAATGTAATACACGTGGCAGCCCCATATAGTGGACAACTCTTTGTTTTCACACATTCATGTAGTTCTCGTCCATTTATCATTATCGAGGTGAACTTCTCAATATATTGTGATATTGATTCATCACCAAGCGGTATTCATCACTTTCTTTTCTCATAAAGAAATATCTTATGGCAAATGCTAATAAAACAATACATACATAACCCATACTCTGCTCATTAAGCAATCTTTGTTTGGCATACTTTTGTAAAATTCCAAGGTAGATTAAGCACACAGAAAACAAGTAAGACTCATACAAATGGCATCCCAATCAGTCATGCGTCATAACTTTCAGGAAGTTTGTGATGGTCTTGGTTAAACATTGTCCTCTGCCTTTTTCCTTTCGTCATTGCTTTGTTTGAGGGGGGTTGAACTTATCTGGCACCTTTGGCCACTGATGGGATGCAGATGCGACAGCAACTATCAGTTCAAATCACTGTTTCTTACTACGCTCCGCCCTCTCATTTAGTCGCTCTGAATCAGTCAGTTGTTTTAATCTGCTACTGATTTAGTTTGGATGTGCTTCAACCCAAAGAAAGGACGCCCAAGTTGAAACAGGCTTTGTGAAATTAATAAACACATTCGATAAATGAAATTTGCAACATTGTGTCACAATAGCACAAGTAATATCGTGAGATTCACCTGAAATACTGAAAGGAAAATACCTTTGTGTGGATTTATAGCCGCACTTGTTTTAAAAAAAACTCATGTTTAAAATGTGAGTCACTTTAAAGAGCAAGTCACCCCCAAATAAACTTTTTTTTTGCTGATAAACTAAATAAACGAGTGTCTAATCGTGCTGCAGACACGTGTAGTCAATAATTTGGCATTTCAGTGCATCTTGGTTAAAATTTAAATATTCTGCCTAAAATTGGCAGTGTTGTGCCGTTGTCAGGTAAAAACTGCACCGTATTTTAATTTAAATCTGCCACTGCTATTGGCTAAGAGGTATGCTATGATTAAAACTGGTACATTATGATGTCACAATGCTGTCGTGAGCCTGTGTGTGTGTGTGTGTGTGTGTGTGTGTGTGTGTGTGTGTGTGTGTGTGTGTGTGTGTGTGTGTGTGTGTATTTGTTAGCAGCTCCGCCTTCTCAGTCTGCCAGGCAACAGCATTTGTTGCATTTTTCAAACATGAAGTGAGAGTGGAGTTAGACTCTGGTAGGGGGTGTTTTCTCTGTAACATATGTCTTGCTGTCCTGCCCAGTGGAAAATTTGTGCAAAGAGTGTCAAGAGGATGACAAGTAGGCCACTGTACAGACAAGATCAGCTTTGTGAAGCACTCTAACACAAGGAGAGTAGTACCGCTCCTCACTGCTTGGGGCTATTTACTGTTTCCTATGCCGATGTCTCTCTGTATCTGTCTCTGTCTTGTACTGTACAGGGAAGGGATTGGTTCTTGTGTCTGTTTGTCTCTGTGTGTGTGTGTGGGATCGGTGCCCCTTCTCAAGTGCTTTTTAGTGCATGTTTTCCTTGATGCGTGCTTGCCAAGCAGCTGTCGTTCACTCAGAACTTCAATTTCATTCAGCAAATCACAGTGTTGTTTTATTTTAGCTGTCACCATGTCTTTTCCGGAGCTGCCTGATGTTGGAGACACTGACAAGCCGGGTATTTATAGCTTTTTATGATTCTTTAGTCTACTGGTTTTACCCAAGGGGAACCTGCCGCCTGCCAGCTTGTGTGCACTCAGTCTGCTGAAAGAGACTCTTGAGAAAGCGAGCTTTCAATGGAATTCTAAAAAAAAAATGCTGAAAAACACCTTAGTCACAAGGTCGCTTGAAGGAGCAGACTTATTTGAGCCCATTTGTGTGTTGCAGTGTGATGTTTTGTCTTGTGCATGTTCCGGCGAGTGTGCCCATTTCTGACTTGGCCTGATAAATGAGGTGAGTTGTTACTAGAGCAGCTAGAGAGTCAGAAATACTGAATTTAGGCTGCTCTGGACTCCAGAGAGGGAGTGGCTCTCGATGATGGAGACATGGGACAGGAAATCATACTAGTGGCTTCGGCGTCAGTCGGGAAGGAACAGGAGGGGTACCCAGGATGGTTTGTATGTGTGCTGTGTGGTTTCCCATTTTCAATTTTTTGCTGTTTACAAGCTGACTCCTCCCTGGGATCAATTCTGGTTAAATTTCTGTCGGTATTTCTAACCTTTTTCCTTAGGTCAATAATACAATATTTTTTTTATTGGGATAAACTGCTGATTGAAGTTGATGATAAAACCTAAATCATACAAAGCTGTTTTGCAGAAGACAGAACTAGTCTTTTCTAACCAATTCAATAAAAAAAAGTTTATTTGATGAATCTGT